CTAGGCAACGACGGAACCAAATAGCACCCAAATGAGGTTTGGTCACACCGTACCTGCCACAGAGAAAAAGGATGAGCGGATAAGGGAGTCAGTGTGAGGTAAATGAAAACAAAAGAGAACAGAGTTAGCTTTCCGGGAGCTTGTTTGTAAATGTTTTGAGCAACCGATACGAGTACAGCGAAGTGATGTTTCATTACTCTTCTATTATCTTTTATTGAATCGAAATTCGGACAAAATATTTCGCTAGAAGCGAGGAATGATCAACCAAAGGACTGTAATTTAGTCCGGAAAAGAATGAAGGAATAATTTGTACTTCACTTCGGATGAATAGAATAGAAATGTCAATGGATTTCATTAACTAACTATTTCAGTTTGAACTGAGTGGCTCTGATCAGGAAGCTTCTGAGGCATAACGAACAGATGAAAACGCAAATTTCAGAGATGACCGTAAATCAGTAGGGCCAAAAGATGCAATGGTGCATTGATTTGGAAAGAAAGATTCGGTAGCTGAGAATAAACCCAGCCCTAAGATATTGTCATTAAAGCAACTGTATAATACACAAGCTGAAAAACTGTGGTCATGCGCCGGCAAGTAGAAAATCATAACCACATGAAATATCTTGGAATCAGGACACACTGAAATGTATGCTTTAAGCCCACAGAAGTTATAATTATGATAGCAATACAAAAAACCACATGACTTTGTTAAAAGCCTTGTGTACCACCTTGAGTCCGTTATTCTTGTCAGGGAAAGCCTGTTCACCTGGAAATCTCCGCACAATCAATAGATTTGGACCTATTACAACCNTTACAACCGCAGGAAACTGCCAATACATTTTTCAATCATACTGTATTGATGGAATCTGAGGTAATGCACAGAATACTATGATCTGATTCGTCTATTAGCTCTATCGGCGATCTCGCACTTTCTAGTCCGGAAAACCATAGGCTGTGCGTAACCATATATTAGAGGTTCTAGCCCGCGACGCCTACAGAAAAATTATGCACCATGAGATCCCCGGAGGATGGCGAACAATTGCTGCAGCTCCTGAGGGACAGATTGGATAACTTGCTACCTAAAGAACAATACCAGGAGCAGTTCTTCTTGCGACACCAGTAGCCGAACGAGTGTCTGGTAGAATTTTTTGCGGATCTATGGCGCATCGCCCGGATGGCCTTCCCGGTGCTGCCACCGGAATAGTTTGACGAACGCCTGCTGGAGAGGTTTCGGGCCGGGCTGAGAGACACCCGGGTGATCTACGAGCTGGCAAGTCAACCCCCCCTTCCCCCANCTTCCCCCAAAGATGTAACCGAAGCAGAGTCGTCGGCCCGTCTACTAGACTATACACTCTGCAAAGCAGGACAGTGTGGACGCCTTCGCCGTCGGAGATAGCAAACGGCAGGCCCTTACACCCGAACCAAGTTCAATGCTTTCGCTGTCGTCGGTTCGGTCACAGCGCGGTTTTGCCGCACCAGGATCACGGGTAGGTCGAGAGTCTGAATGAATGTGTTTAATTGTTCAATCGATTTTTGTGACCTATTGTTTTTTAATGCCAATGTTTGTGGTAGACCTTGCCGATGTCTAATCGATTCCAGATCTATTTGTTGTTCGATCACAGATAGATTAGTGAGAGAGTGGAGGTTACCCTGGGACTGTATGCGCACGACTCAGTTAGTCGCAGTAAACGGCTCATCAGTAACACCTGCGGTGCAAAGCCGACTCACCGTAAACGTCGAGGGAGTCGAAACTACACAGAACTTCATTATTGTGACAAACTTACTGGTTCCAGCCATTTTGGGATTGGAGTTCCTAAATAGAACGGAGTGTATACTGAACCTCGGAAAAAGGGGATTGTTCATTCAAGGTCGACTAGTGACATTAGAGAGCCAGAGGCGTAAGCATTGCCTCATGCTGCAACCGCAAGGGTCGCGCAATGGTGGGAGGATCTCGAAGCTCCTGTCGAAAGTGTCCGCAGCAATACCGGTGGGGGCGAAGGAGAAGTTCAGGAGACTCCTTCAAGCATACGAGCAGGTTTTCGGTGGGATGGAGACCCCCAAGGGAGGACTAACATAGTCCAACATTCAATCGAAACGGGGGATGCACACCCAATTCATCAGGCGCCCAGGCGCATTCCAATACATAAACAAGCGGAACTCGAAAAGCTCATCGCGAAAATGGTGCAGCAAGGCGTGATTAGGCTATCCACGTCACCTTGAGCCTCCCCAGTGGTCTTAGTGAAGAAGGATGGATCGGTAAGGCTATGCGTCGACTACAGGAGACTAAATGCGGTCATGCGTAAGGACTTCTTCCCCCTCCCACGCATCGATGACACTATCGATGCGCTGTCAGGATCGAAGTGGTTTTCGACCCTTGATCTGGCGTCGGGCTAATGGC